GTCATCATCAGGTACTTATATTAAAGTTATTCTTCATTACCCATTCAAGCCGTCTCCAGCCATTATTAGTCTCAAAGTGAGTTCCTCGTCATCGAATAATCTAATTAAATTACACGTACTTTGATTTCAATACTATTTTGGAAACAGTTCTTCGCAACAGCGGTGTTGCTATGCTAGTCTGTTTGATAGAATTATAACAATCTCGGGCTTTTCAGGAGCATCTAAGGACATTATTTTTCAGTGTTGCTTACGAAGACTTTCTGTCATAACGAAAGCTACACAACAGGCTATTTTCTCACAGCCGTCCCTAGCTCTGAACTGATAGGCTAGAAGGATTGCGGTTAGTAAACACCACCCACCACCAACTTTTTATCCACTTCAAATAGTAGGATTTACCGTCACTCTTATAGCGCACTCACAGCCTAAAAATGCAACGTGCGTTTTTGTGGCAACGAACCGCGAACTACGAAACTAGATTCACAGTCCAAGTACGCTAAAAACTATGCCACTCCCTGGTGACTTCTACAAGAACAATAAAATGAATGGTTAGATAATTTCGCCAACCTCGCTATTTTCTCCACGTATTTCTTGATAGGCTCTTATTGTTATGTGAATCTCTACAGTTAAAGCCGAGCGTTCCGAAAATGTGCTCCTCGCTTTAAAATTGTGGATGATGGTCAAATCCCATTAGTCAGCATGACAAGAATAATTTAAGAGTTGGCGATGGGTGTTCTTGATTAGCTGCCTTCCCCTTAGTCTCTAAGCTCAAAATTATGGAATATTGCGCACAGATAGATAGCCCTTTGTGTAGCTGTTTGCGAAATTCTGAGACAAGCCATTACGTTATATAATAATCCTTAGAGATACTCTCCAATAAACGCTCTACGAAAAAAGGTTCGGGCGTATCATTTTTGTGGAAAGACCAGAAATAGACAGTTATTTTTGGTCATAGGGAGATAGAAATGAGACTTAATAACGAGGACGTAGATGTGTTAAGATTGATGACGTCAGAATTACTGTGTATGACGTCATTGTGTTACCCTCTTGACCATTTTAGTGTCATGACACTTCACCACCCAGCTTAGTTTTCAAGAGTTTAAGGTGGAATGTGGGTTAGTGGGTTAATATAGTTTCAAGATAATAGGTGAAGGACATAAATATTTAACTAGTTACCAAAGAAATGTGTCATTTTTTCAAACGGTTTTTCTATTTTATAAGTTCTAGGAGTCACATCCACTGCGACCATTTTCAAACTGTTTTATTTTCATTTTTTTATTATCTTTAACAATTACCACGTTACTATCACTATTCTAGCCTAGAATACATCAATGTTCACAGTTTCTCTGTAGAGTTTGTTTGTTTGTTTGTTTTTAATTATGCACAAAGCTACACAAGGGCTATCTGTGCTCTGCCCACCACGGTATCGAAACCCGGTTTCTCTGTAGAGGAACGTGAAGTCAACTTTATGAACTGATGTTGATACTTACTTTCTTTGTAGGCATTAATCATTTAATGCCAAAATAATAGATCTTAGATAATTAAATTTTAGGCGTTATCATACTGAAATGTCTTCAATAATATAAAAGTGGATTTGAATTATTTTCATATTAATCTTTATAGCTAGCTTACTTTTCATCAAGTTTTTAAGTAATTTCAAACAACAAAAACTTAATGTACTAGATTTGGCAAATAATGGGCTTGCATTCTTTGGCTGACACGAACATGAGCTACGACAGAGGAGTGTGGGATGGTTTGTGTCATTACGTGACCCCTCTTGACCTTAAGTTCCAGTTGTGGGTTTGCGTGGTAGGCACATTTAACCAAACTGGACACAAAACGTCAGGCTGCTCTGGAAAGCATAATGCTTGTTTGTTCCCGCAATTTTTACCTCACACACATGTATAAAAAAAAAAAGTGAATTAATCATAGACAAAGTTATTCCAACTACTGTCTTCTAAGGGCTTCTTTCACAAACGGCGTTGCTCAATATCTAAATGTTTTCATAGCCAATAAATGAAACTTTACGCTTTTCGAGTTGCAACGCCAAACGAGTCATATTGCCATTTTACAGAGTATGTGTAAACTTTATATACACATCAGCTTTAATTATGTTTATGAAATTTATAAAGCTTTATTGGATAGCACAATCAGTGCATGCAAAAACTTTAAAGTTATCATGCAAATTAACTAAAAACCGAAGATCAACGTTCACAATTTAAAGGTTTAAATATAGTTTATTATATTAATAAATATATTAATATTAATTAATAATTAATTAATTAATTAGGAATATTAATGTAAACAAGCATTCAGTAAACGAAACATTTATAACATCTTTAAAGCGAATTAATGACAAATAAAGAGGTTGCTAGCATCCACTCCGACCCCCAGTGGCACAGCGGTATGTCTGCGGACTTACAACGCTAGAAACCGGGTTTCGATACCAGTGGTGGGCAGAGCACAGACAGCCCTTGTGTAGCTTTGTGCATAATTAAAAACAAGCAACCACTCCATCTTTTACTCTTTAGTTTCTGCGCTGAAGGCGATTGATTTATATTTTACGACCTAAGAGTAACTGAAACAAGAATGGCGCAATTTGAAGTTTATTGAATAACTTGTTCTTAATGCGATAACAAAATCGAACCTTCCAATTTTTACTCTGGTGTCAGCCGGTGGGTGAGCAGTAAGTTTACGGACTTACAACGCTAAAATTCGTGATTCGATTCCCCGTGATGAGCAAAGTAGATAGTCCAATGTGGCTTTGTGCTAAAACAAACAAATATCGAATTTTAGTAACTATTTTGTAGTTCTTGAATGAACTTTCACAAAGTTTAACTAAGATTTTATATGAATACATGAATTGAAAAGTCCAGTATATACATATTTGTGCCTTTGTAACGTTATCCTTTTACATAAAAAATAAGAAATCCATCTCCTCGTTTTCATACAAAAAATCCAAACAAATATTTTTGTTTTATAAGTCTCCTTATGATAAAGTGAACGTCTAAACGTTCATTTTATGTTTTTGTAAACTTTTTAATAAAGCGATTAAAAATTTATTTTGCGACCAATAAAGTTACATAAAAAAATGTGCATTTTGATGACTTTATGTTTGGTTTAAATCAGCTTCTTCCCTTAAGACGGAACTAACACAGTTCACTCTAATATTATTAAACGTTAGACAAACATCAAAAAGTAAGTTATGTTTTTAAGGGTCGTCTCTCTATATACGAATTTAGTAGAAGTCTGTTTGAGCTATTCCGAAGTATATTTCTACACGAAGAAAAGTCCCCTTGTGGGTTGCGTAAACTTACGGACTTACAACGCTTAAATCCAGGGTTCGATTCCCCGCAGTGGACAGACCGCAGATAGCCCATTGTGTTGCTTTGTGATAAAACACATAAAAAAATCATAGAAAGTCAGTGTGCTTTGTAACTAATATCTATAGAAATAGATAGGTCAGTTTAGGATTTTGTAATCTTCGTTTTGCTATTGAATTATCAATCGTTTTATCCTTTCTGTGCGAATAGTTATGGTTTAAACTCCAAAACTTGGCAAAATCAATAAGAATATATAAAAAAAACATCTACAGTAACCGCGTTTTTATAACAATTCTATGCAAACAGAACGAAGCAATTTAGAGTAATATTTAATATTTTACGGTCGGAAAATGTACAGTACTCAGAGAATTTGCGTTGTCTATTTTTAACCGCGAATTT